AAGAGGACGGGGCGGAACCAAAATTCCATTCGAGAGAGACTGATTCTCAGGATACTAATATTTGAATTGACSTCGAAAATTATCAAAATGGGATATCATTTTGAAAATTTGTTAGTGTCGTTAGAGATCACGTTTTCATTCCTCCATTATATGCCGTGGACATTAAAGGGACATGGTCCACCAGCATTCAATGCGGTCGTGTGTATTTTTTTCATATATGGAAAATGCCTTCGAATATCCATTCCCAATTCGTTTCTATCCAACGGTTAAAAGGTCGATTCTTACAGTATACAGTATCTCCATTCATATAGTATAAAGGGATAATAAAGAGTAAGTCTTCCAGGAGGAGCCGACGGGTTCCTTGTAGAACATATCTGTTCTTATTATGTCCCAGCCAGCTGTAAGGCAAAAGTGGGTTGCCAGCGAGAAATTCAGGAAAAAAGAACTCTCAAGGCAGGGAATACTCTCTAAAAATTTTTGCCAGGAAAATAAAAATTCTCTATAACTAAAAAAATATGAGTCTAAAAACGTTTTTGATAAGCATTTTTGCGACGGCCTTCAAGACGTTTGGCAGGGACAATTATTTAGAAGAAGGAAGGGCGCCACATTGCTCTGAGATTATCAACAATAGCTCAAAATCCCTTTCCCAGGAAAAAAATTCTTACACGAACAGTTATTTAGAAGAATAGAAACCGTCGGATCCTCCTGGTCTTTGCTTATATTGCGATGTATTTTTTTCCATGAGCAAAAGTTCGAAAGGGATGCTGGTGGCCTGAAAATCAAACTCACTATAGATTCTTGCTGTTCAGTTGTTCTTAATTGTTTTATAATGGTTTATTATTGCTATGTGATATTTCGGAATGTCGATAATATTAATATGATCTACTTTGTTTAATTTGTGTCCATTTTTCTTTTCTGGAAAAGGTTTTGCTTGTTTTTTGATTTAGGAATTCAAAATAATGATTTTCTTACCTTGAAGTCTAAAAGCGGAATAGAAACCGTCCATTTGCTTGAAGTTTATTTATAAGGCCGTGAAAGCTACTTTTAGCAGAGACGCCATGTTGACACGTACTCGAAGMGAAAACCCAGTCAAAACTTATTGCAATCGGTACAATTCTACGTCAAACAATATAATTTTTACAATTTTTTCTCCTTTTGAATCCAGGTTTTTAAGTTAGTGCGATGGGTCAGTTGTTTTCGGCAAATATCGATTGAATCCACAGCATATAACACAGGAAACCCATCATGGTGAACCTTATTTTATTTACCGCGATCGCAAAAATTAAAAGAATTTCTTAAAAACAAAACTTTATGCAGAAACATGTTTGTTATTATTAGAAAAAGGAGAAAAAGAAAAGAGAATCTCCAAAACATCAAAAAGAAAAAAAGAAAAAAATGTCCTGTCTCAAGCTGGACTCGAACAGCGGTGCTCCCAATAAAACTACTAAAACACGCCA